AGGGCTGAGAGTGCCTTCCTGTTCCTTGTAGGTCAGGATGACCACAACTGGAAGAGTGAATTCTATGCCAGTGAGGCCTCTAAACGCTTACAGGCGCATGGTAAGGAGAGGCCGCAGATCATCTGTTACCCAGGGGCGGGGCACTACATAGAGCCTCCTTACTTCCCCATGTGCCCGGCTTCCATGCACACCTTGGTGGGCCGTCCTGTCATCTGGGGAGGGGAGCCCAGGGCTCATGCCATGGCCCAGGTGGATGCTTGGAAGCAGCTGCAGGCTTTCTTCCACAAACACTTGGGTGGGGTAAAGGGAACAATTCCAGCAAAACTGTAATCTTTTATTTCATTCTACGGCGTCTCTGATGCTAATTGATCCTCGGAAGAGCTGCACAATTGGTGTGTATGTATAGTTTTCTTCTTCTTAATAATGACTTAGAGTTTTTCTCCCATCACTGTTAAAACAAACTGACCAGTGAAGTTTCAAGATTTTTATAAACTACATACCTGTTCAGTTGTTTGGGAAGAGAGTGATTCTGAGAAACTACAACAGATGGAAAAAGCATTTCTTTTAGTATCTCACAGCACACAACTGACAAGGCTTTAGCTGTGAAAAGAAAAGTGAGTAACACTGGTTAACAGTGCCTGGTACATTATTGGTGCTCAGTAATTATGTTTTTAATTATTATTTGTTTAATTAATTTAATTAGATTAATAAATACATGATTACTTACTGTTCAAGAAAAGCATTATAGGGGCCAGCCCCGTGGCCGAGTGGTTAAGTTTGCATGTTCCGCTTTGGTGGCCCAGGGTTTCACCAGTCTGGATCCTGGGCGCGGACGTGGCACTGCTCATCAGGCCACGTTGAGGTGGTGTCCCACGTCCCACAACTAGAAGGACCCACAACTAAAATATACAACTATGTACTTGGGGGATTTGGGGAGAAAAAGCAGAAAGAAAAAAAAAAGATTGGCAACAGTTGTTAGCTCAGGTGCCAATCTTTAAAAAAGAAAAAAAGAAAAGCATTGGGGCTGGCCCGGTGGTGCAGCGGTTAAGTTGGCACGTTCCACATCTCAGCAGCCTGGGGTTCGCCGGTTTGGATCCCAGGTGCGGACATGGCACTGCTTGGCACGCCATGCTGTGGTAGCCGTCCCACATATAAAGTAGAGGAAGATGGGCACAGATGTTAGCTCAGGGCCAGGCTTCCTCAGCAAAAAGAGGAGGACTGGCAGTAGTTAGCTCAGGGCTAATCTTCCTCGAAAAAAAAAAAAAGAGAGAGAGAATAATAAAAAAAAAAGAAAAGCATTATATATTAGTATACTCAGATTTGAGTTTCTCCTTTATGAATCTAAATTACAAATCTTAGCTGTAAATTGATTACTACTAGATGTAAAACTACTAAAAATTTTAAATTCAAATACCTTTTTTAGTTCTTTGATAGTTTCTTGGATGAATAATGATTGTCCTAGTGCAAATAAATTTTAAGTTACATTCCTGTTTACACATATGGACCTTTATGATTTAGTTGTTTCCAAAGCTGGTAAAACATTATTTAGATGAATTACATAAGTGATTTTAAAAGTGATTAATGTGAAAATAAATGATTTAATATTTACATCACTTGATGAAAATCATTCCACAATAAGCTTATTAAACTTTTCTTAAAGCTTAATGTATTTAAAGTAAAAAATGCCTCAATTTATGATTATGGTGTTCTGTTTCTTCAATTTTCTTTTTTAATAAAGCAGTTCCTGATATTTTCTTTTCCTGAAACTCAAAAACAGTAAGTGCTCCTTCTGTTTTGTCAGCTTTTTCTCCTATACCACCGTGTGCTCGGCATTTAATCCTAATCTGTGAAGCAGGTGTCATCTTCAGTTTCCAGATGAGGAAACCGAGTCTCACAGACGTTCTTTGCATAGTTAATGTAGAGCTGGGCTCAGTATCCCCAAATGCAGATCCTTCTCCCTTTGTTAAGCTGCTTCCCTCATCGCTGTGGTTCTTCATTTTCTTTGGCACAGAGCCATTTATCCGTCGATTTGCCTCCTCTCATCCACCCAGTAGCATGCACATCTGTGTGTGTTCACATCCACACACACAGGGTTGTGTAACTTCAGGTGCATCGTCAGGAATTCCCTTAAGGCCCATCCCTGCGCTCTGCAGGAGAACAGCCCCAGCCGCATGGAAAGGAAATGGCTCTTCTTTCTCCTCTACAAGTTTTCAGTGGAATTCCTGGATTTGCAGTGCAGGGGTGGGGGTTTCTTCAGGGTCCTAGATGTTAAAAATACATTTAAGGGTAGGTCTGGGGGCCGGCCCCATGGCTGAGTGGTTAAGTTCGCGCGCTCTGCTGCAGCGGCCCAGGGTTTCGTCAGTTCTGATCCTGAGCGCGGACATGGCACCACTCATCAGGCCATGCTGAGGTGGCATCCCATATAGCACAACCAGAGGCACTCACAACTAGAATATGCAACTATGTGCTGGGGGGCTTTGGGGAGAAGAAGGGGAAAAAAGCTACATCTGGAACCATGTTTAAGCCCTAGCCTTGATGTGGCAGTATGGTTTCGGAAGAGCTGACAGCCGACTCAAAAATGCCTACACCCCTTCCCTTGATTGTTAACCATGTGTAAGTGATTTGCCCGTCCTCATTTCATCCTTCCTCTATTTCTTCTTTCCACTACTGCCTATAAACAAGATAGTCCAAGACACGTCAAGGAATCTCCCTGTTTATCAGACTGTCAGGCTTCTCTAGGGATTCTGGGGTTGCTCATGAGGGATCAAAAGCAGAAGCAGCAGAGCTTTGGGGGCCTATTAATGACCAAGTCAAATTGTAGACCATATATTTCAAGAGACACAAAGATGATTTTCTCTTTAAATGCTTTTGGGTAGGCGGTGATAAGAAAAGGCAGAATAGAGATGCCATAGGGCGGTGTTATGGAGCGAGGAGTGAAACTACATACTATTGAGGTGAAGATTGGAAAAGAATTCAGAGAAATAGTGGCATTTGATATAGATCTTAAAGAACAGATAGGACTTTCTGAATCTCAGATAATAAAAATATCCAGGAAATCTGGACAATAATTTGAGAGTATCAGTGTTTGGGTTTTCTCATAAGTAGACTATAAAACATTTTTGAAGGAGAATAAAGAAAACTTAAATAAATGGAAAGACATCCCCTTTCATAGATAAAAAGACTTAACATTGAGTCTTAACTGACTTAGTTAAGTTAGTTTACCTTAAGATGGTGATAGTCCCTGTGAGGGGCTGAATTGTGGCTCCCCAAGCCGGATGTTGAAGTTCTGATCCCCAGCACTTCAGAATGTGACTGTCTTTGGAGACACCTTTAAAGAGGTAAGTCAGGTAAATGAAGTCATATGAGGGGGCGCTAATCCAATGTTACTGATGTCCTTACAAGAAGAGATGAGGACACAAAGATGCAGGAGAGAAGACCATGTGAAGAGACAAGGAGAAGATGGTCACCCACAAGCCAAGGGAAGAGGGTTAGAACAGATTCTTCCCTCCTGGCCCCCAGAAGAAGACAATCCTGCTACACCTTAACCTTGAACTTCTAGCCTCTAGCACTGTGGGAAAGGAAACTGCTGTTGTTTAAGTAACCCCGTCTGTGGGACTTGTTGTAGCAGCCCTAGCAAACTAACACACTCTGCAAACTGACCTACAGGCTCAAGGCAATCCCCATCAAAATTCCAGCTGGTTTCTTTGCATAAATTGGCAAGCTGATCCTAAAATTCCCATGGAAATTCAAGAGACCCAGAATCTTTTTTTTCAGAATCTTGAAAAAGAGTAAAGCTGGAATACTCATAATTCCCAATTTCAAAACTTACTACGAAGGAACAGTAATAAAGGCAATGCGGTACAGGCGTAGGGATAGACAGAAAGATCTATGGAGACGGACTGAGAGTTCAGAAGTAAACTCTCACACTTAGAATCAATTGATTTTTTTTTTTTAAAGATTGGCGCCTGAGCTAACAGCTGTTGCCAGTCTTTTTTTTTTTTTTTTTCTTCTCCACAAAGCCCCCCCAGTTCATAGTCATATATTCTAGTTGTGAGTGCCTCTGGTTGTGGTATGTGGGATGCTGCCTCAGCATGGCCTGAGGAGCGGTGCCATGTCTGCACCCAGGATTGGAACCGGCGAAATCCTGGGCCGCCGAAGCAGAGCGCGCGAACTTAACCACTCAGCCACAGGCAACTGATTTTCTATAAGAGTCCCAAAGAAATTCAGTGGGGGAAAGAATGGTCTTTTCAATAAATGGTGTTGGGACAACTAGATATCCACATGCAAAATAATGAATTTCGAACCCTACTTCAAACTATACACAAAAATTGACTCAAAACAGACCAAAGACCTAAAAGTAAGAGTTAAAACTACAGAAGTCTTAGAAGAATATATAGGAGTAAACCTTTGTGACCTTGGATCAGGCAATGTTTGGACATCAAAACACAAGTAACACAAGTAAAAATAGATGAACTGAACTCCATCAAAACTAAAAACTTTTATGCATCGAAGGATACCACTTACAAAGTGAAAAGACAACTCACAGAATGGGGGAAAATATTTGCCAATCACATAACTGATAAGGGACCTGAATCTAGAACATAAAAAGAACTCTTTCAACTCAATAATAAAAAGACAGCCAACTAAAAAGATGGGCCAATGATCTGAATAGACACGTCTCCAAAGAAGATAAACAATGGCCAATTAGTACATGAAGAGACACTCAACATCATTAGCTATCAAGGAAATGCAAATCAAAACTACAATGACACTACTACATATTAGGATGTTTATAGTCAAAAAGACAGATATTAGGGCCAGCCCTGATAGCCTAGTCGTTAAAGTTCAGCGCACTCTGCTTTCGAGGCCCAGGCTGGGTTCTGGGCAGAGAATCACACCACTCGTCTGTCAGTAGCCACACTGTGGTGGTGGGTCACATGAAAACAAACAATAAAAAGCAGGACATTGGCCACAGATGTTACCTCAAGGTGAAGCTTTCCCAGGGGGAAAAAAAGACAGAAATAATAAGTATTCACAAGGATGTGGAGAAATTGGAACCCTCATCCACTGATGGTGGGATTGTGAAACAATGCAGCCACTTGGAGAAAAATCTGGCAGCTCCTCAAAATATGAAACATAGACTTACCATATGACCTATTAATTCTGCTCCTGAATATATACAGAAAAATGAAAACATAAGTCTGCAGGTTGCAGAAGAGTAGATAGAGCATGTTCATGCTACCATACACTTACGTACAGTAACATACAGAAAAAAAAATCTAGATGGATGCACCCTTCTTTGGGGTAAACAGGGAACTGGAGAAGATACTATCATTTCACATTTTAAACTTTTTAGTATTGCTTACATCTGTTTCAAAGAATATATAATCTTTTCTTTAAAAAAGAACTGATTTTTCTTTTACAGAACAGTTTAAAAAGCAATATGCAAACCTATGGCAATTATCTGGAGACCACGAGAAAACTTGGATGGGCTCAATCTCTGGCTATTATGAAATCAAACATTACATTTTGCTTTACAGTATTCTACGATTTTCACATACACTATCACGTTTCATCCCCTTTTATCATCTCACACACAAGAACTCTGAGACCTAGAGAGATAATAAACTTGCTTATGGCTAAAGAACTAGTGAGTGCTGAAGCCAGAGCAAGCCCACAACACTGCTGCTCACCTGTGAGTTCCACATTTGGAGTTAGCCTTGGCTCTGACTCTTTTTACAGGGTAATCCTTAGTGGCTTAATGTTCCCCAAGCCTCAGGTTCCTCCTCTGCAATATTTAAAAAATACTCCTAGTGCTTTGTGAATATGTTCAATTTTTAATGAAAACAGATGGGACATTGATAAAGAGTAACTATGACTTTAAAATATACACAAAATGCTGGGCATCCCAGACATTATACTTACATTGCTTCTAGCGTCACATTCAAAAGGTTGACTTCATATCTACTAAGGCTGAACATTCTCAATCCCTGTGGTAAAGCAATTCCACTCCCAGGTATAGACCTCACTGAAATGAACATTTATGTCCATCAAGAGATATGTTCTGGAATGTTCAGAGCACTACTCCTAATAGTCCCAAACTGGAAACTACCAAATGCCCACAGGCAGTAAATCTGACAAATACCTTTACAATCACAAAATGGAATACTATTTAGCAGTGATAATGAATGATCTACAACTTGGTTCCTGCCCTCAAGTCTGCTCCAACTCCCGATGACCCTGTGAACGACTGATGTCCACAAAGTCTTGTCCTCAACAGCCCTGCTCAGCCCATGTAGACTCAGGCTTATGACTTCCTTTATGGAGTCAGTCCATCTCACATTTGGTCTTCCTCTTTTCCTGCTGCCTTCCACTTTTCCCGGCATTATTGTCTTTTCCAAAGAATCCTGCCTTCTCATGGTGTGCCCAAAGTAGGACAGCCTCAGTTTTATCATGTTTGCCTCTAGTGAGAGTTCAGCCTTAATTTGCTCTAGGACCCCCTTATTCATCTTTCTGGTGGTCTAGGGTATCCATAGAGCTCCTCTCCAACACCATATTTCAGATGAATCCATTTTTCTCCCGTCAACCTTCTTCAAATCCAGCTTTTGTAGCCAGACATAGTAACTGGGCATACGAGGGTGTGGATAATCTTGGCCTTAGTCTCTAATGACACTTCCTGACACTTGCTGATCTTTCCTACATCTTTCATTGCTGCCCTTCCAAGTCTCAGTCTTCTCTTTATGTATTGGCTGCAGTCTCCATTTAAATTGATGATGGAACCAAGGGAAACAAAATCTTCAACAATTTCAATGTCTTCATTGTCTATGTTAAAGTTGTGTAGTCCTTCTGGAGTCATGATTTCTGTCTCTTGATGTTCAAATGCAGTCCTGCTTTGGCACTTTCTTCTTTCATCAGAAGTCGTTTCAAGTCATTGCCGCTTTCTGCCACTAAGATGCTGTCATCTGCATCTAATAAACTGTTGATATTTCTTCCACTAATTTTCACTCCTCCTTCATCTGAGTCTAGCCTAGTGTTTTGTACATGTTCTGCACACAGATTATGCAGAAAGGAGGATAAAATGCACCCTTGTCTGACAACTTCGCCTATGGGAAACCTTTCTCTCTCTCCAGATTCTGTCCTGACAGTTTCTTCTTGTCCACAATACAGGTTTCACATCAGGATAATCAAGTGCTAAGGCACCCCCATTTCTTTCTGAGCAGCCCGTAGCTTTTCATGATCCACACAAAGGGTTTACTGTAGTCTATGATGAGGATTTTAGGCTGGTTAATTTTAAAACTGCAGATGAGAAGCAAGCTCCCAGGAGCAGAGTTTGCTTGCCCTTTGTTGGGAGGCATTTGCATTTGTGGGGGGAAACTCCATCTGTGAAGATGCCTCCCTCTCTGTGCCAGGGGGAAGGGGGATGGCCTTGTCTCTAGAAACTCTTAATGGGGAAGGCAAGAACTTAAATTGGTTACTGTCTGGCAACCTCATGTAACTGATTTAGGCTGGTGGCTTCTGGCCTTTACTTAATCCGATTTGATTCTTATCTAAAAGCTGTGGGAACACCCAATGGCCAGACCCCACCTGCACTGATACCATTTTAACTTTTTTACATGTTCTTTCCTTTGTCTTGTAAAGAGATGGCTCACATACCTATGCCTTAAAATTAGCCTTACTCTCCACCCATGTTGGCAGCAGAAGCCGCGGCGGCAGCAGCTCCTCCTGCCCGCGGGCCCTGTCCCCACACAGCAGCCTGACTGCCCATGGGTCCTGTCCCCATGCTATTCCACACTATTCTCTAAATAAAAGAGCACTACCGCCAGATCTTGAGAGTCCAAGAAATCTTTCTTTCGACTCCTCGTCTCACCGACCCCGCATCAGTTCTACAAAAGGACCTTTGCCTCGATGTCTGGCCATTCTGTTGTGCATTGGGCAATCAGACTCACTTGTGGTTGGTAACATGAATCTGTCAAAATCCTAACAAGAATGTGCCAACAAATTTGGAAAACAAAAAGTGGCCTACAGAGTGGCAACACTCAATGTGTATCTCGATCCCCATAGAAGGACATGTCAAGGAGTGCAGTAACCATAGAACCATTGCTCTGATTTCCCGTGCAAGGAAAGTGGTGCTCTGGGTGCTGCAACAAAGGCTTTTACCCTATCTGGAGCAGGAAATGCATGCTGTGCAAGCTGGATTTTGAAAAGGGAGCCCATAAGATCTAATTGTGATTATTTGTTGGCTACTGGGGTGTTCCCAAGAATTTCAGAAGGTTAAGTTGTTTTGTAGACTGATGCGGGGTCGGTGAGACGAGGAGTCGAAAGAAAGATTTCTTGGACTCTCAAGATCTGGCGGTAGTGCTCTTTTATTTAGAGAATAGTGTGGAATAGCATGGGGACAGGACCCATGGGCAGTCAGAGCTGCTGCTGCCGGCATGGGGACAGGACCCATGGGCAGTCAGGCTGCTGCGTGGGGACAGGACCCATGGGCAGTCAGGCTGCTGCGTGGGGACAGGACCCATGGGCAGTCAGGCTGCTGCGTGGGGACAGGACCCATGGGCAGTCAGGCTGCTGCGTGGGGACAGGACCCATGGGCAGTCAGGCTGCTGCGTGGGGACAGGGCCCACGGGCAGGAGGAGCTGCTGCCGCCGCGGCTTCTGCTGCCAACATGGGTGGAGAGTAAGGCTAAATTTAAGGCATAGGTATGTGAGCCATCTCTTTACAAGACAAAGGAAAGAACATGTAAAAAAGTTAAAATGATATCAGTGCAGGTGGGGTCTGGTCATTGGGTGTTCCCACAACTTTTAGATAAGAATCAAATCGGATTAAGTAAAGGCCAGAAGCCACCAGCCTAAATCAGTTACATGAGGTTGCCAGACAGTAACCAATTTAAGTTCTTGCCTTTGGCATTGATTAAGAGTTTCTAGAGACAAGGTCATCTCCCTTCTTCCTGGTGCAGAGGGGGAGGCATGGAGATTTCCTTCACAAATGCAAATGTCTCTCAAAGGGCAAGCAAACTCTGCTCCTGGGAGCCTGCTTCTCATCTGTAGTTTTAAAATTAACCAGCCTAAAATCCTCATCAGAACGAAAAAGGCTTTATTGCGGGGTGATCAAGCAAGCAGACAGAGGCAAAGCTCTCAAATCTGTCCCCTCAAGTGGCTTGTGGGATATTTATCAGGGCATAAGGAGTAGGAAGGTGTTGGGAGCTGAGAGAGGGCAAGAGGAACTTTCAAGAGTGCTCTGGGCAGCTGTGACTGTCTTTCATGTTTCTTTCTGGGTCCCATGTGTAAATTCCGGGCCTCCCATGAATTGCATGTGGTGGATTTTTGGCCTGTGATGTCAAAAGTTCACTGATGGGTCATTCTGGTCCCTTAATGTGCCTGCACAATGTATGGTGGAAGGAGGTCGTTAGCAAGTTATTTCCTTATGTGCAGTGTCCGTGTTTTTCTGCAAGACAAGCTCAGAAATGTTGGTTAATTTGTTTCTTACTTTAACTTTGTGGGTGTGATCCCTGTGGCTTGAAACAATTCTATCCATACCCCGTCTACCCCTGGAAACTTATTTCTTCCCCGTACTTTCAGAGCTTTCTCTTCACTTTCTACAATTCCAGGTCCTTCCTCATAGGAATCTTTAAAGGAATCTGTTATCCTTTATTTTTTTTTTTAATTTTTTTTAAGATTTTATTTTTTCCTTTTTCTCCCCAAAGCCCCCCGGTACATAGTTGTATATTGTTCGTTGTGGGTCCTTCTAGTTGTGGCATGTGGGACGCTGCCTCAGCATGGTTTGATGAGCAGTGTCATGTCCGCGCCTAGGATTCGAACTAACGAAACACTGGGCTGCCTGCAGCGGAGCGCGCGAACTTAACCGCTCGGCCACGGGGCCAGACCCTGTTATCCTTTTGTCTCTGCCACATAGATCTTCCATATACTGTGTCCACTTTCCCTTTATTTTCTCCTGATCAGAAAGTGTGCGTGACTTTGGGTCTTTGAGCATTCCTCCTTCTGCTGCAAGATGCCTGAGTACAAACCCCATGTGCTCGGGTCTGTGGTGTCTCAATCCACTAACGCCTATGAACTGTTGGCGACCCTGGGGGGTGATAACTACACCCAACGGTATCAATGACTTTCACAAACAATGCAGAGCAAAAGGAGAAAAACATCAGAGAAGACACACTGAAGGATTCATTCCCATAAAACACAGAGTCACGAAAAACTAACCCGTTTTCCTGGAATCAGGACGGATTAACTTTGGAGAAAGGGGAAGTGCCCGGAGCAAGAATGAGGGTGGCTTCTGGACTGCAGGTAATGATATTTTTGGATCCCTGTGATTGGTTATGCAAGCACGCTCAGGTTGAAAAATTTCATTGAACTGTACACTTAGGATATGTGCCCTTCTTAGTATGTATATGATAATTCACTAAAAATTAAAAGAATAAAAAGTTGCCTTTTTCTACGGAGAAGCAGCAATTCTTGGAATTCTACCTACACTCATTCAGCTCTGGTTTCACTACTAATGATTACCCAACACGCTCCACTCCAATAAGTGAGAGCGCTCACAGGCAGAGAAGCTTCCAGAGGGCGGGCTCGGCGCCACAGCCAGAAGCTGAGGACGGCCCTGCGCGCCCGCCCGGGGCCAGGAGACCCGCAGGGAGACTTCACCACAGAGGAACCCGGGCGCGGGGTCCGCGGGTCTAGGCGCCCACACGCCTCCAGGGGCGGCTCAGCCACCGACCGCTCCCGCGCGAGGGGGGGCCTGACCCGCCGGCCTCCCGGCGCGCTCCCCACGGCCTAGGACTCCACTCCCACCGCGGCCCGCGTCTCTCAGTTCGCTCCAGACGGCGGCAGCGCGCGGCCAGGATGGCGGCGACGGTGACCGTGGAGCCCGCGGGCCGCTGCCTCTGGGACGAGCCCGTGCGCATCGCCGTGCGCGGCCTGGCTCCGGGGCAGCCGGTCACGCTGCGCGCGTCCCTGCGCGACGAGAAGGGCGCGCTCTTCCGGGCCCACGCGCGCTACCGCGCCGACGCCACGGGCCTGCTGGACCTGGAGCGCGCGCCCGCGCTGGGCGGCAGCTTCGCGGGGCTCGAGCCCATGGGGCTCCTCTGGGCCCTGGAGCCCGACAAGCCGTTATGGCGCTTTCTGAAGCGGGACGTGCAGACGCCGTTCGCCGTGCAGCTGGAGGTGCTCGACGGCCACGAGCCCGAGGCCGGGCGGCTGCTGGGCCGGGCGGTGCACGAGCGCGCCTTCCTGGGCCCCGGGGTGCGGCGGGAGCCGGTGCGCGCGGGCCGGGTGCGTGGCACGCTTCTTCCTGCCGCCAGGTGAGCCCGCGCCGCGGGGGGCGTGCGAGCCGGTGCCCTGGGCCGCCAGGCGTTTCTGCTCCTCCTGCTTCAGGGGGCTCTAGCTGGGGAGCAAGATCAGAGGAGCTGACGTTGACTCAATCAGTGGCTGCCCAACCGAAATACGGAGAGGATCTGGATATGTTAGTGTCTGTGCTTGCGTTTGCATTATCTCAGCTAATCTCTATAAATACTGTTATTCTGCAGATTGAAAAAAAGGATCAGGGTCAGTAGGTACGTTGTCTACTTCGCTATTGATAACCACCCTACAGATCTCGACGGGCATCAGCCCGACCGCTCAAGGAAGCTGTTCCCGTCGCCCTTCTCTAGTGTGTGGGGTCCACGGGGCCCCTTCTGCGCTCCTTCATGTTCCTCTCCCACAGCTCCCACTTCAGACTCCACTGCCTTCCTCACCTAAAGCCATCTCTGGGTGTTTCTTTTTCTTGCCTCTCACTAAATAAGCATCTGAATATCAGTACCCCAAAAAAGCAAAGGGTTAACGCAACACCTCATAAAGCTTTGTTTCATGATTCTTAGTTCTGCGTCCACTCCCCTAGCAGAACACTGTGAATCATCACTGTCTGAAAAGTGAAATTCCTCCTTCTGTGATGTAGTCATGAAGGAAAGACCTTGTTGCTCTGCCTTCCACCCAAGGATTCTTGGAACCCTGCAGATCATTTGTCACAGAATCTTATGGGGGGGTAAGCTCATCACTGAGAAGGTACCTCGTAGGTTTTCCTGCCCCCGGGGAGCTTGTCTTCCTTTTCAATGGTGACTCAGGGAGCTGTTTCCTCTCCTCTCCTTTGCTTCACAGGAACCCACTAAATAATTTAGAAAGAAAGATCTCTGAAAGGAAAGCAGGTGCTGTAAATGGTGTAATGCTTCCCTTTACGCTATTCCCTGCTCTAGGACCTGGCTCTTTCCCAGGGGTCATTGACATCTTTGGTGTTGGAGGGGGCCTGCTGGAGTATCGAGCCAGCCTTCTGGCCAGTCATGGCTTTGCCACGTTGGCTCTGGCTTATTATGACTTTGACGATCTCCCCACGAGACTGGACAGCATACACCTGGACTACTTTGAAGAAGCCGTGAGCTACATGCTGCAGCACACCCAGGTTCTCCTGATGTTCCTTCCTGTATCATGCCCTCTAGAAGGATCTCCAGAGGGTGTCGCTTTGCCCTCGCCTGTGCCAGGTGCACTGAGGCTGCTCTGCTCTTCTTTCAGAGAGCTTTCTTTTGGAGACTTCCTTGGCTTTTGGGGCCTCTTTCCCCTTTCTCTGTCAGATGGATTAATAATGCCTAATTAATAATAAAATTCATCAGATTTTATTTAAAGGAATTATTTAGTGATATTAAAATTCCTTTTGTTATGTGCATGGGGCTTCTTATTTATTGAATCTGCATGCTTGTTTTTTCTCTTTAATTTGCTGATAATCAGACTATGTTCAGATTGATCAGACAGAACTTCCCACCCAATTCAGAAGATAAGAGGGGCTGGCCTGGTTGCGCAGTGGTTAAGTTCTCACGTACCGCTTTGGCTTCGCTGGTTCAAATCCCGACTGTGGACAAACCCACCGCTTGTCAAGCCAGGCTGTGGCAGGCGTTGCACATATAAAGTAGAGTAACATGGGCACAGATGTTAGCTCAGAGCCAGTCTTCCTCAGCAAAAAGAGGAGGATTGGCAGCAGATGTTAGCTCAGGGCTAATCTTTCTCAAAAAAATTTTTTTTTAATTAAAAAAATAAATAAGAATTAGATTAAAAGAAGATAAGAATTACTTAATTGAACTCTGAAGTTTTACTTTGTGTCTATAAAGTTAATCATTTGCCCATATATTTAGATGGGGCCTGATGAATGATTCACTACTTGGAACAGAACTTGGTTCCTCAGTTGGATACCCAGCCACACTGAGACTTTGATCATGCCCACCTGAATGAGGCCCTGAACTTGACACGCTTCATGACTCAGCGTTCTCTGGTGGCTGATGCTCTGAAACCTTTGTTACCAATTCCCAGCTTTTCAGTGAGTTTCAGATTTGTTTGCCACGTATCCAGCCAGATAGTCTTTAGGTGGGAAGAAACTGCTCTGTCAGCTCAGGTTGATCCTCTTGTGGCTCATTCACAGATTCAAGTTAGCAGCATCTCCACTTACATTTGGACAAATATTTTTCTGTTGTGTAGGTTCTTGACCCTTGACTTTTCTCCCTTCTTTTCTTCCAGGTTAAAGGCCCAGGCATTGGGCTTCTGGGCATTTCTTTAGGGGCAGATATTTGTCTCTCCATGGCCTCATTTTTGAAGAACATCTCAGCCACAGTTTCCATCAATGGATCAGGCGTCAGTGGGAGCCCAGACATACACTACAAGCAGACTTGCCTCCCACGATTGGGCTATGATCTGAGGAGAATCAAGGTAGCTTTCTCAGGCCTCCTGGATATTGTGGATATGCGGAATGATGTTGTAGGGGGGTGTGAAGACCCCAGCATGATTCCAGTAGACAAGGCCCAGGGGCCCATCCTCTTCATCGTTGGTCTGGATGACCATAACTGGAGGAGTGAGTTCTATGCCCAGCTAGCCTCTGATCGCTTACAGGCCCATGGAAAGGAAAAACCCCAGATCATCTCTTACCCTGGCGCTGGGCATAACATCGAGCCTCCTTACTTCCCCCTGTGCCCAGCTTCCCTGCACAAACTTGTGGACAAACCTGTGCTCTGGGGTGGGGAGCCCAGGGCTCATTCTAAGGCCCAGGTAGATGCTTGGAAGCAGATTCTAACCTTCTTCTGCAAACATCTTGGAGGGACCCAGAAGAGAGCTTCCCCCAAATTGTAATGCACTGGTCTGTTGTAGGCATGAGAGATTCAAGGTCACATTCTACTGTGTAATGATTCGAATGTGAATCAGTTTTTGCCTGTATAACATTAAACTCGTGTCAATATTAATGATGGATTTAGGTAACATTTTGAATGTTGTGTTTTCATTAGTTTTACTAATGTGACACATGCCTATTGTAGAAGATTCAGTTAGAGCCATAAACACAAAAAGTAAAAAGCATCCCTGCTGTTAAAATCTGTGTTTCTTCCAGATTCTTTTACTTAACACTTTCAGCCATAGGTGAAATTTAAGGCTGAACAAATACTGGGTTACTTTTCCATCACTGGGAGAGAATGGCCATCCAGTGTTGCTACTGGTTCAGCTCCTGGCAGCAGGGTAGACTTGGGGTTGGCCAAAAGTATGCAGAGAGGTATTGCTATAAGGGAAGCCAGACTTCCCTTTCCTCATGGAGATCAGAGAAGAATCCTTTGGAAGTGGAAGTTGGGGTAAAGAAGGAGGCATCTGTCTCTGGAATAGTTAAGCCTAAACTCTGTTCCGAGGGTGAGTGACTGTCACCTATTTTCCTTCTTGCTCCTGGATCTAAAGATGGACTTTGGAAAATCATAGCGTGACATTCTTTGAGGCATCATTCCTCACTTGCCTTGACATCAGGGCGACAAAGCACTGTGTAAGTATATTTGAAGAGATAATAGCTAATTTTCCAAACCTGTCAAAGACATCGAGAAACATATTCAAGAAGCACAATGTCTTTGTCAGCTCAGGCTCCTATAACAAAATATAGACTGGGTGGTTTAAACAATAGACATTCATTTCTCACAGTTCTGGAAGCTGGGAAGGCCAAGACCAGGTTCCAAGGGATTCAGTTCTCCTCACATGGGGGAGAAAGAAAGAGCTGTGGTATGTTTCCCTTTTTTGTAAGGACACTAATTGATGGAGGCCTCACTCTCATCACCTCCTTTCAACCTAATTACCTCCCAAAGGCGCCACCTTGAAATACCGTCTCACTGAGGGCCAGCACTTCACCGTAGGAACTGGGTGGGAGGGACACAACCAGTCAGTCCATAAAAACTATAAGCCTCAAGCAAGAGAAATATAAAGAAAACAACACTTAACACATCACAGAAATATCATTTGTGGCAGTTTTATAAAATAGCCATAAATTCTTTGATGTTTCTCCCAACAACAAGTGGGAGATCCTTGTCCCTTCCCCTCACATCTGAATGGGCTTCTGAGTGCTTCAGTCAGTAGAGTAGAGCAGAACTGATGCTATGTGGCTTCAGAGGACAGGTCATCAAAGGCCATGAAGATCGCACCTTGCTTCCTGGGAACACTTGCTCTTGGAGCCCTGAGCCACCATGTAAGAAGTTTCACTGCTTTGAAGGTGTAATGCTGGGACGAAGCCCAAAACACACGGAGAGGCCACTGGTAGGCACTTGCTGTGAGAGTCCCAAGTGAGCTCAGCCTTGAGTCATCTCCACCCTGGTGCTGAGTATGTGAGTGAAAAACCCTCCTGATGATTCTCGCCACAGCCATTTGAATCTTCCCAGCAAAGGCTTCAGATATCCTAAAGCAGAGAAGAGTTGTCCCTGTCAATGCTTGTCCAAAGTGTGGATTTGTGAGCCAAATAAATGACTGTTGTTTGATAGGAGTATGTTTTGAGGTGTGTTGCATTATCTGTTGCTGGGCAAGAAACCACCCCAAAGCACTGGCTTAAAACAATAACCATTCATTTTCCTCAAGCATCTGCAAGTTGGGCAGGACTCAGTAGGAATGGCTCACCTCTCTTCCAAGTGGCATTGGCTGGGGCATCTGCTGGTGGCTGGGGGATCTACTTTCAAGATGATCACTCCCATGGCAGGGAGGGTGGTACTGGCTGTCAGCTGGGAACTCAGGCAGGGTACACATTGGGGGGGGGTCTCAGTTTCTCTCCACATGGGCCTTTTCACTGGCTACCAAGGCTGGGTTCCAACACTGATCATCCCGAAAGAGCAAGGCCGAATTCCATGGCATTCTTTTGACCTAGTCTTGGAAGCTACATAGCATCACACTTGCCACAGTCAGTTGGTCAAGTCAGGCACAACGATCCACCCAAGTTCAAGGAGAACATAGAGTCTGCCTCTTGAAAGGTGCAACTTCTAGAAGTCCCTATGGAATGAGAAACCTTGTAACCATCTCTGGAAAATCTGCCTTCCTGCTAGAAGGGAGATCCTTCCTCCCACATGTAAAATATACCCGTCACTATTCCAAGGCCCACCGAAGGTCTGATTCCACTCTAGCTTCACACTCAGGCTCAAGTGCCAGATTGCGTCATCTACATCAGATCCAGGTACAGATGAAGCTCCTCAGGTACAGTCTTGGGTCTAGTTCCTTGAGAATCATTCTTCTCAATCTGCAGACCCATGAACTGAAGAGACAGGTTACCTAGCCTCATATACACACATCCAGAAAACAGTGGTGGGAAAGGGAAAAGAGAACTCAGACCTTCCTGTTCAGAAATGGGGAAAATGAGACGCATAAAACGGTCACTGGCCCCTAGCAACTTTGAAATCCCTCTAAGAACTTGTTGCTGGTTAGCTCACTCGTGCTACGTTTACTCTCTCTGTGTTGTTCTCTGAGGCTCTTAGTCCACCCTCTGGGTTGAAACCTTTTTTTCCGTAAGAAAACTAAATTAGCAACTAAAAGCCTCCTCAGTCTGCTCCCTGGATAACAAGATCCTGAATCCAAAGGCCTCTTTTTCTTTTGTACTCTCTCTTAGTTCAAGCTCGCGCTGCTTGCACCAGAACAATTCTCTTAAGAATTATGTGTGTTCTAAAAATCTCAGTGGAGTTCACTCCATTAGACAAAATACACCACTACAAATCTGTTTGAGATAAGAACCTTTCTCCCTTGGGCTCCCTGAGAGGATGCTGCAAGACAACACCCTTCAGATTCCCAGAAGCTCTATCATTTGATAGACAGGATTTGTCAGGCTCACCTTAAAATCTCTAGAGGCCCTTTTTTCAGTCTGAAACGTTGTATGAGTCACTACCTTGAATCTTTCTGAGATCTTTGCAAAAGGCTCTCCCACACACCCACCCTGGATTTGACTTTGGTCTGAGGTCCTTTCTTTTTCTTTTTTATTTAAAGATTTTATTTTTTTTCCTTTTTCTCCCCAAAGCCCCCTGGTACATAGTTGTATATTCTTCGTTGTGGGTCCTTCTAGTTGTGGCATGTGGGACGCTGCCTCAGCGTGGTTTGATGAGCAATGCCATGTCCGCCAGGATTCGAACCAACAAAACACTGGGCTGCCTGCAGCAGAACACACGGACTTAACCACTCGGCCACGAGGCCAGCCCCCTTGAGGTCCTTTCTTAATTAAAGAAGAAGTTGCCATCTGGAGAGACTGGGAAGGAGAAACAGTATTATTGTCAAACTTTGCGAGCTCTGGTTCCTTCATATTTAACAGTTCCTTCTTCAGCTCACCTCTTCCTTTTGCATTTTATTTTAGGCAGCAAGAAGCAGCCAATACCCCACTGAGAAATCACCTCAGCTAGATCATTGAATTCATTAGGTCTAGTTCCCATTTTTCACTATACTGCACATGTTACCTCTAGCTTCCAATAAATTTTTCTTGCTTTCCTTTAAACCCTCAAAATAGCCTCGGTGGGGCCCTTTAGACTCTCAATAACAATCTCCTTGAAGCCCTTCCAGCTTCCACCTGCCACCTCATCCTAAAGCTAGCTGTGGTTCCTGAGGGCATGGATTTCTTCATAGGCTGCTTGAGGTTCCTCACAGCATGATACCTGCGTTTCAATCATGAATGTCCTAAGCCAGCCCTGAGAGCCTAATGGTTAAAGTTCAGTGCCCACCACTTCAGCAGCCTGCGTTCGCTTCCTGGTCGCAGAACCACACCCCCTTTTGTGTCAGTTGCCATGCTGCGGTGGCGGCTTACATAGAAGAACTAGAATGACTTACAACTAGGATATACAACTATGTACTGGGGCTTTGGAGAGGAGAAAAAACAGAATGAATGTCCCAAGAGAGGAAAGCAGAAATACATGGCATTTTTTATGACCTAGCTGAAATCTCATAGTATCACTTCAATGTACTCTATTGGTTGAGGCCGACACAAAGACCTCAGATGCAAGGAAAGTGGATGTAGACTCTATCTCCTGATAGCTTCTAGAAGAGCATGTGAGATGAGATTATTGTTGCAGTTATCTTTGGAAAAGACAATCTGCCCACAGAATTGTTGGTTATATAGTAACATGCAGTGGAACACTGCTGAACAGAAAGACAAAGGTAAAGAACCTTAGCAGCAGCAACAGGAAAATGACACCCTTCAAAGGGGCAACACCAAGTCTAACAACTGACTTCACAACAGCAATAATGGAAACTAGAAATTATTGGAATGATATCTTCAAAGTGTTGAGAAAAAACATCTGACAATCCAGAAGCCTATCCTAGCAAAATAGATCCTTAAATATGAAATTATTTATTCTTCATAAATTCTAGTGAAAAAATTTAATAAGGTCAAAATAAAGTCATTTCTGGAAAAATAGAAATTGAGAGAATTAAAATAGCATACCTGCAATAATGGAAAAACCAAACAGTGTTCTTCAAGCAGAAGTAAAATGACTCTAGGTGGAAGCAGGGAGATGAAGGAAGAAATGAGTGTAATGCTGTGGGGGACTGGAATTGGCCACCTCAAGACATGTCTCTTTGGCATGAGGATTATTTTGGCCTGGTTATTTTTAAAAACTGCAGACAGGAGAGAAACTCTGAAAAGTAGAAGTTACCCCCTATTAAAATACATTTACATTTGTAAAGGGAAATCTCCATCTGTAAAGGTGTCTGCCTCTCTGTACCAGGAGAAAGGGGAAGATGACCTAATCCCTAAAAGCTCTTATCATTGCAGAAGGCACGGACTTAAATCTGCATAATAACCTTACTCTTGTTTACTGTGCTTTTCTGGCAATTGCCCATAACTGACTCCTCCCAGCCCCAACATCTTCCTTTGTCTTTAGCTGAGGATGATATTTAAGGTGAGAGCTTCTGCCATTTTGGTGAGCTACTCAGTTTTTCTGGATCTCTCCCATGTATGCATGTTATAAAGCTTTGTTTAATTTTCTCCTGTTGTTCTGTCTCATGTGAATTTAATTCGTAGTCCAGCCAGAAGGACCTAGAGAGGGTAGAGGAAATGTCTTCCTCCCCTACAGTGCAAAGGTTAATTATATAGATAAATCTAAATAAATATTTACAAATAATGTCTTGTGGGGTTTCAAATACACAGAATTAAATAGCATATGTAAGAAGGGGTAAATGGAGTGGAAGTGTTCCAAGATCATGCATTTTTCAGAATTTGGTAAAAATATTGATTCATATTAGATGTTAATGAACAAAAGAGACATATTACAACAACGTAATAGAGGAAGCAAATGAAATAATTTTTAAAAGTCCAAAAGAAGAGAAAATATCATATACAACAGACAGGATAGAAAGTAAATTAACAAGTTGTAGCTTAAACTCAAATAGATTGGTAATTACCCTAAATGTTAACGGACTATACATTCCAATAAAGGACAAGAAGTAAGGTTGGTTTTCCTAGCATGTTCCATTCTGTGCTCTAAAAAATTATTAGATCATACATAGCATGGATTTCCTGTCAGAGAATGAAAAATAGACACCTTATGCTCCAGTGTCAGCTGCTACACATGCAAGATATAAAGTAAATGTATAACATAAAAGAATTATTATGTTTAAACCTTGTTCTGAGAATTTATCATCAATAAATACTGAAATAAAATCTCTTTGAAAATTAAAGACAGTTTAACCAATCTGTTTAAGCTCTATATCTCCTATGTATATTCAAAAATGATTGATATTAGGGATGAATAATACAGGTTTCACTTTGTCAAGGTGAAATAAATCTGCCGAGTCCCTTGTTGAAAAGAACTGCAAAGATCACAGAAAAGCTTGTATGCCCTTTTCTGGTGTTGCCTCCGTCATTCCCCTTCGTTCAATAAATATTTCTTGAAAGCCTGCTGTGGGACAGACAGAGTTCTAAGCTCTGGGCAAAGATGAACAAAGACAACAATGTCTTTGCTGTCAAGGAGCATTTATTCTAGTTGGGCAGTTAGAAAATAAAATGACAAATGCTATGAAGAATAAAAAGCAGAATCCGATTAGAGCGGGCGGAGGGAGGTGATATTGTGCACGGGCTGGTGGGGGAAGGCGTCTTTAATAGGGGTCTTTGGGCAGAGACCTGCTTGAGGATCACGGAGTGAGGCGAGCTTCAGGCTGGGGCAATGGCGAAGGCAAAGGACTGTAGTCACAGTGGGTGCTTGGTCTTCAGCCAAGCAGGCGAGGGGAAGAGGAGTAGACAATGAGAGAGGTAGCCAGGGAATAGGTGTTATGGGAAGCCACTGGGGAGATGAAAATGAGGAAGAGGCATGATCTAAATCAAGCTTTCCAAGTGTCCTCCTGGCTACTGTGTGGAGGATGCACTGTAGGCAGGGGTAGCACTGAAGCGGCGAGGCCGACTGGGAGGCTACGGTCATCATCCAGATGAGAGACGACCATCTTAGACTAGGGTCGGTAGCAGTGCAGATGGTGAAACGTGCTCAGATGCGGGATACATTCCAGGGTGGAGCAGCAGGTTTGCTGATG